AACCCCTAACCCTTAGCCCCTATATGGCATAGGGTCCGTAATAGGGGGACACCATTAAAGACCCCCGAATGCTATGATCCGTCTCATAGGGATCCCAAAAGATAAAAGCATCTGCACAAGCGCTGCGTGCGGATTGGGGTATAGTGTGTGATATATACATACATATATATATATACACATATATATGGTAGTTTCCCAAAATAGGGGGACCCCAATGTAGACCCTAAAATAGTCCTTATTATTGGGACCCCCAAACAGGTACCCCTAATTTTGGGAAACTCCCATATATACATATATGTATATAGTGTACTATAGGCATTTCGGAGTTACCAGGGGATGATCCTTAGACCCTACACACTAAACCCTATACTGTAGTCATTTCGGCGGAGAGTTAGGGAATAATACTGGTACGTTTTCAGGCTTCTGCCGCATCTGCTGTCAACGATTTTGGGTGTGGGGGCTTCTTTTCTTTGAAGTATATGGCCTAGGCTTAATCTTTAGGGTTGTTGAGTTTCTGGAGTTTGTAAAAATCGAAAGCAGGAGCCAAATATTCAGCTGTATAGCCATAGCCTGCGATGACTCAAGCCTTATGAAAATTCTATCTAGGCCCCTATGTCATGGTAGGTTTACGTTGGGTACTGCCCCCACTCAGTAACAGTTGGATAATGATTATAATATGGTTATATGTAGCCCTTAATATGACCCCTAATATAGACTGTTACTGGGTGGGGGCAGTACCCTAGGTTTACGAGTCTTGACTTCGGCCAGAGGAATTCTTCGTAAAGTATGTGTTGTGGCGGTGCGATTCTCTATGCTGGCAAACAAGTTTTTCAGTTACATGAAGTTATATGTGATACATGTTCACAAATGTATAGAGCAATTAATATATGTTACATACATGCATACATGTAGGGCGCGTATGGGGGGTGCATGGGCATTAGTAGGCCTCCTTTTTAAAGGAGTCTTGTGAGCCTCTGCGCCAACATACCCCGAAATGAACTATAGTCTAAACTCCTTAAAGGGGGTTATATGGGGGATTATATAGGGGACTACTATAGGGTATATTAAGGGGGAAACTAGGAGTTTAGACAGTAGCTCAAATGGGTTGGACATGGTTACGCGCAGCAAATTTCATTAGCTTACAGGGGGTTTGGGTCGCCAGAATTTCCATGTGAAGGCGTAGTGAACGCCCGGAAGCAATCATCATTTTCTAGGTGCCGAAAAGCGGAATCCTTAGTTTCTCTAAATAGATATCTTACCTTATTCATGCCACTGCAAGACAGGGACGTTTTTTTTTTTCTGTCCGTCTGAGGGAGCGTGTAAACCTAAAGGCAGCCGAATATGTGGCCAATATAACCCCACTATCAACCTCACCATACGTTCCAACAGATACTGTCTTTGGGGAGTTCATGGGAGGCTACAACACCCATGGGAACGGGAGATCCCCAAATCATGGCTACTCTGCAAGGTTCAAGCCGTCATGGACGACCGTTTGCGGTGTAGGGTTTAGTGTCCGGGGTCATGGAGAGACGGCTTTCAAGGAAGACGATGGCTGTTCTGTGCTGTATCAGCTCGATCGATTGCATTAACTTCACTATGCTGAATCCTTACGTGGATGAGCTGGTGGCCCATGCACTTAACAAACCCCGCGGCGAACCGGGTATTTCTATATGGGTTTCTGTCCTGGTGGGATCCTACGCGTTGTGCGAAGTCCTGTTCAGCCCACTGCGGCTTGGCTGCATTTGTGCTGGTTTGGCCCCCTAAAAATGGATTTTTTTGTTGGGGGAATCCAAATATACTGGGTGGGCATGTCTAATAGATGGATGCTAATATTGGGGCCCAGCATTCCTGTTGTTACCCTAGCAACCATCCCAAATACGCGTGTGTTGAGAGTGCTGAGAGCAGCACCGTGGCCGAAGCGCTCGCTGCCATTGAAGGAGGCATCATCGTCTGACCGCTACTTGAGACATAGTTGACATAGTCTAAACTCCGTAAAGGGAGGTTATATAGAGGATTATGGGGTAGTATTGTAGGGCTTATCAAGGGGGATACGAGGAGTTTAGATTATAGCTCACTTTACCTAAGCTCAGTTTTTCCCAAACCTTAAGATGCTAAAAGCTAAATTCCATAACCTACAGATGTTTAGGGTTTATTGCTTTACACTTCAGGTAAACCCGCAAAAGCTCCAGCCCTCAATCTCAAAACCCCGTGTAAGAGTAGGGTTATTGGAATGGGTCCCTGCAGTGGCACCTAGAGACTCCCAACGATACGTTGTTTCCATGTTCTTTTCCTTCCTGAATTAGCAAATACCCTACTATATCCCTACCTAACATAAATTTCCGTGTCCTTTGCAATTTGCTGTTCCCTTTCCTGAATCCTAAACTAATGGCCCAGTTAAAGCCTTTAGCCTTCTGTCACGCCCTCACTGAGTACTTCTCCCATTGCAACGTTGTGGTTTAGCCTGTTGAGATTATTATGCTGTCTACTAAAATGAAAAGATTAACCTTCAAACCCCAATGAACTTGGCAGGTAGATAGAATAGTGGTTCCCATTCTCGTTTCCAAGAACAGCTTACCCGAAACCATAACCCCCAAATCCGAAGTACTGTCCCTTCGTCCAAGCAGAACCGACCCTAAACCCTAACCCCCTAAACACAGTGTAGGTGGGGCATGCTAGCCGACCGGTTTGGCCGTCGCCCAATCTTGCTACTGGGCCTGGCAGGATCTCAAAAGTAGAAGAGCCAAAATGCCACATTATGCCACTGGGGCTGCTATAGGGTTTTGGGGTTAGGGTTTAGCATTTAGGGTTTTGTGCTACTGGGATATGACCTGGCCTAGGCAATATGCTAAACAATATGACCGGGCCAATTATTTTGAGGATTTAGAGTTTGGGGCATTTAGAGTCCCCATCATGGTACACACACACACATATATATATGTATATTTATATGTATATGTAAATACACTACTTTTGAGAGCTTTCCAGGAACCCTTCCAAGGAGATCTACTCTCTAGATCTTCCCCTAATAGGCCTCCACTCGATACGAATGGTTCCTAATATTGTGTATTCTACCACACGGGGTATACTTAATATTCGGGGGATAGGGTTTTAACATTAGGGGAAGGGAGTCCCTAACCCCAAGCCCTATCCTAAACCCGGAACAGCTCCCGTGCCAGCAGTGCGACGCGCGTGCCGAAACCTGAGCTCTGAGCCCTAAATCCTGAACGCGAGACCCTACCTCCGAATCATGCAAGGGGTCTAGGACTGGGCTTGACAGGATCTGCGGCCGCTTCGGTTTTGATGGGCCTTGCGGACGGGGTGGGACGAAATTGGCTCGTGCGAGGATCTAGAAAGTAGATCCCCCATAAGCGCGCCTTCACATTTCCCAATAGTAGTACAGGATGCCAGGGGTCGTGGTTTGGGGGCTCACAGGAACATGGAAATTATACTTATAACAACTATCAACAATGTAATAACCCGACATATCCCCATGACTAGCCCGCTTACTAAATCATTCTGACTTTCCCCGTAAGCCTATCCATGGTTCTTCCACGCTGTGTTCCAACAAGATCTTCACAGTTCCCAAGAATCCCGGTTTTCGTTGGGATCCCCTCATTTTAGTAACGGCCCTCTTTGATAAGAGCCCCAAGTCTTGCAATAAGGACCCCAGAGCTATCATGTATAAACCCTAAACCCTTAATTCTATATGAGCCATACTCTAAACTCCTTAAAGGGGGTTATACAGGAAATTATATAGGGGACTACTATAGGGCTTATTAGGGGGGGATGCTAGGAGTTTAGACTATAGCTCATATGGGTGCTAACTTTAGGGATTGCCCTGAACCCTAAAACCCCTGCTAGGAGAGCTACCCAGCAGCACTTGCTGCCCGCCTCCTGGACGGCTTCTTCTGCGGCAATGAGTCTGTCGCGAATACCTACTTAGGTGGGCATTTCCCAAATGAGAGGTGTGGGGTTTAGGGTTTAGGGTTTCCAAAAATGGCGTGTCCCGTTATGTACTGCCGAATATCATACTACATTCTAATCCTTCTTGCAGCTAGTTACCTTGGGTACTGCCCCACTCGTATGAACGTATTGAGCCCTCAAGATATCCCGATCAGAGACTCTTACTGGGGGCAGTACCCAGCCGGTACCCTCCCTCCATAATGTAATTGGCAGTACCCTACACCCCATACCCTAATCGCTGATCCTGCTGATCCTGCTGATAGGTACCCTTGAAGCCCCGAACCCTGAACCCTAGTCCTTCTTGTAGGTACCCTTGAAGCCCTAATCCCTAAACCGCAAACCCTCATCCTTCTTGGAGGTACCCTTCAAGAGGGATCCCGTAAACCCTAAACCTTAAATTGGATGCCTCCAGGTGAGCTGGTAGACAGCGAGACTCGGTTCTTGGAAATATTCTCGGGTCTTCCATTTAGACAGTAGATAACCCCATAACGGTCTTCAGAAAGTTCCCAATAGTAGTATAGGATACCATCTTGGCAGTTTCTACTTTCTAGATCCGTCCAAGGTTCTGGGTATTCACCGATGTTTCTTGCATTCATGTAGGGCTTCTCAAGACGACCTAGGACAACGAAGCCTGGGCTTTTGGCACATTGGGCGTCGTCTTTTCCTTTGGCTTGTTCCTGGGTCCCATGCTCGGAGGAGGGCTCGCGCATCCAGCGGATTGGGAGCCCGGGCTGTTTGCAGGCACGGTCTTTGATCGCTACCCGTTCCTCTTGCCAAACCTGCTCTTTGCATGCTTGGTTGCCGCAGTGTTTCTATTGGGCTTCATGGCCCTTGATGAGACCCTGGGACTAAGACAGGCTGAGCAACTTCTTCAAAACAGAGACGTGGGCGAGAGGAGGTTTGAGCCTAGTTTTCCTCAAGGTAGGAAGCTGTGGAAGCTCCTGATTGCAAGCTGCCTTCTCTGTGGCTACATAGCCGCCCGCTTGAACAGCTTCATCCTAGTCTCCTCTTTACCGCGCAATCTGCATGGCCTTGGGATGTCTTCACGCCAGTTTGCGTACATTCAAGCATGTGCAGCACTGATGCTGGCCTTGAACCAGACCACGTGTTACACATGCTTGGTGAGAAGACTGGGGAATCATGCCAGCTACGCCCTAGGCATGCTTTGGACCATGGCCATCACTTTGCCAATCCCCTTCTATTACACGGCATGCGAACAAGCTCCTATTGAAGTGGTGCGGCTGCTGCCCATCACGGCCTGGCAGGCTACAAGCCAGTTTGGGTTTGCCATTGCCTTCCCACTCTGCGCCTGGATGAATATAGAACAAAGGCCAATAACGTGCTAGTAAGCATTTGTGTAAAGCTCGAAGTTCAAAGCCTGATAGCAGAGAGATGCGCACATGGAGTTTTAAGATTTTTGGAGGGTCTCGGGTTTCTGATGTAGGGTCTAGGGTTTGGGATTGAATGTTTTCAAATGCAATGTTTAGAGATTTGGGGTCCTGGATTTAGGGTTTAGGGCTCAGGGCTTAGGTTTGCACACGCTATCTGGGAATTAAAGTGTCAGGGCTTTATAGGGTTTATGAAGGGGCGGGTTTAGTCTTGCCAAGCCCCAAACTGAGGACCTTAAACCCCACAGTAAACCCTAAACCCTATAGTGAAACCCAGGGCTGTATGATGATCGTATTCCTCTAATAGGGTCCTTGATAGTAGGCTTGGGCCGGCTTGGGGTAAACTGAGCTCCTTTTTCCACGGTTTAGGGTGTACCTGGGTAGGTTTGAACAAATTCTTGTTTTCAGTTTAGCACCTTTAAACCCTATAGAATCCTATACAGCCACTTACAAATTGATTTTTATAGGGCCCCTAAACCTACCCTAGTTTAGGGCTTAGAGTGTAGGGATGCAGTGAAGGCACTGTCCTAGTCAACAAGGAACCTGGATCCTTGTTAGGCATCCTTTGTAATTCCCTTTTTCCTGTTTAGGGTACAGGGTTTAGGGGCTTAGGGTCTCAGGGTATAAGCCCCGCCCTAACAGGGGAAATTTGTCGGTATTCTAGAATGTATTGGGAATTGGGAATACTTTTTTGGGGTGGGTGGGTTGGTGGCTGTAATATTAGGGTAGGGATAGCTCTTCTTTAGCCCTAGACCCTAAACTCTAGACTCTAAACCCTAAGCTGCCTAAGCGCTTTTTTAAGGCATGAGTTTCCGTACATTCGCAGGCTCTTTGGGAACTGAAAACCCCCAAGCTTAGAACCTAAAAGAGCTGCAGGGGTCGGGTCTAACAAGAACAGTTCAACCCTAAGCATTTTCTTGTGGAAATTAGGGATTACTTGGAGGGTCACGGCGACTTAGTAAGTACGTTAATAATGGGGATGAATGGGGTTACTATAGGCGTTATAGGGGTTATTAACCTACTTACTAAGTCTCCCTGACCCTCCAAGTAAGGAATGCACGCAGAGCAACCGAGCAATGGTGAATGGCTGGTGCGGCTCTCTCAATCAAACTTGAATCCTTTTGTAAGAGCCCAGAAAGGGTTTAGGCTTTAGGCAGTGTAGTTGCATTATAGTTGCCCACATAACAGCCCCTGAATATCATCCTCGTTGTACTCGCAGCGTTTTACTCCTAATGAATTTCCTGTGACCCAGCTTAGAGGGTTGTAAAGGAACTCTACTGGAAACCCCAAATAGGGAACCCCAAGAATATAGCAGGAATCTAATAGAATATAAGGACCCTGGTAGGTATATTCCTATTATGTACCTACTATATTCTTGGGGTTCCCGGTTTGGGGTTCCCATTAAGGTCCCTTTAGTGGGGGCAATATCCAACTTGGAGCTCTAGTCCGCAAACCGTTGTTGCAGAAACGCCGCAGCAATTTACAGAGTCATCCCGCAGATGCCTGGTCACATGGACATCCTTGGGCTACCTCCCAAAACCCTATAGTCCCCCTTAGGTAGATAGAAGATGGCTTTGGGTATATTATAATAAGATCCCCTTATACCCCATATTCTATCGACTCAAGGGAGACTATATCCCATAAACCCTAAACCCTAAATAGTAGTTTCCCTTGTCTTTTCCATTATCCTTATACAACCCCTATAACCCCTATATTGTATCTACTTTAAGGGGGACTATATCCCATAAACCCCTCATCCTACCTCTTGGCTGCCAGCTTCTGAGCTATGACCCTCAACCCTGAATCTTAGCCTTAAATCCTAGACTTCTTGGGTTTAGGGTTTAGGGTTTATCCTCATCCCTAGTCCTAAGCATAAGTTGTCATCCCTAAGCCCTACATCCTGGTTCCTAGAATTCACCCTAAACGAAAATCCACAATCCTGAAATCCTAATCCCTATCCCAAAATCCTAATGGGGTCGTCATCTTCTTGGGAGTCCTCAGTTTCAGTTTTTTTTGCCACGCGAACGTTGAAGCCTAGATCCCAAACCCGAATCCGTGCAGATGCCCCAATCCCTGAATCCTGCTCGCTAAACCGTCTGGCAAAAAAGGAGTTAAAAAAGACCCAAACCCTAAACCCTAAACCCTAAGCCCTAAGGCCCTAACCGCTACCCTAAGCTGCCCCTAAAGGTGCGGCTCACTGAACGCCCTCGCACGCGGCTTGGGGCCAGAGCTGGCCGGTGCTTTGGTTCACTTGGGGTGCTCCATGGAGACCCTTGCCTTACTGGGCCTGCACACGCACATGTATGTGTGTGTGTGTATTTGTATATATAATACTCCGTGGTTGAGGGTTAGTAGGGAATAAAGGAGGTCTAGGGTTAGGGTAATTATCCCCCTCGATATCCCCTACAGTACTCCCCTAGATAACTCCCTTTAAAGACTTTAGACTATAGCTCCTATGGTAACTTGAAATAAGTATACCCTAATCCCTAAACCCTAAGAATTAAGTTCCTTAACAGCTTTAGAGTTCACGGTACGCAGCAAGGCATAGGATGCAGGACATCCACAGCTGGGGCTGCGTTTGCCCGGCTAGTGTCAGCTTCGTCAACCCCTACATGACCCCTTTATGATACACCCTATATTCCCTCTTTTTTTTTTTAAGGAGGACTCTCTGACGTGCTATATTCCCTAAACCTTAACCCCTAAATAGTAGTTTCCATTTTCTGTTCCATTATCCCAATATACCCTCAGGGGTTATATAAAGGTCGTGGGAACTTATCGATGGGCATGCCTACAGACCCTCTAGTTGGGAAGTTTAGGGCTTAGGGTTTAGGGTATGTGAAGGGTTCAGGGTCTAGAGTTAGGGTATGCGAAGTTTGCTGTAAGCATCCTTACCGTCGGGAATACAATTCTTCAAAAGGGATCCTAACCAAAAAGGGGAACTTGCTCATTTGGGGCAGGTAGCTTACTGGTTCTTAGGGAATAGGATCCCGAAACAATCCCTGCATTAAACCCTAAACCCTAAACCCCAAACACTAAACCCGAAACCCCAAATCTTCTCCCATATTCCCTACTAAGAACCAGTAAGGTTTCAAGATCAAGTGGCATGTAACGACTGCAGATGCCCTAAATCCTAAACCCTAAGCCCTAAATAGGGTTCAGGGTTCCCTACACCCCTCCGCAAGGACTGGTGAGCTGCGTTTGGGGCGGTACCTGCCATTCTATGTCAATCTACTTCCCGCCTTGGTCCCTTGGTATTTGATTCGGCTATGCCCCCAAATTGGGGTTTAGGGTGTAGGGCTCAGGGTTGTGGGTTTTAGGGTTTAGGGTAGAACGAGAACCCCAAGACAGAGAATCCCAACAATGTAGTAGAAATATAGTAGGCATACATATCTCTCAGGGTGTATTTCCTACTATATTCTTGGGGTTCCCTGTTTGGGGTGCCCATTGCCCTCCCTGTAGAAATTATCCATATATAACCCTTTCAGACGGATGCCTTTCTTCTTTGTAAGTGTACTCCCATTTTGGAAAGTTCCCTTGGAGGCATGTTTGGGAACATTGTCTTGTTTCAGTTTAGGTCCAACTGCATGAGGCAGGCCCAGCAGGCATAGAGTTTTTACATCCAAAGCTCGTAACAAACTGTGGTGGACGACGAGCTCCAATCAGAACCTAAACTGCGTGCTTAGCGATGCGCGTGCTGAAGCCCTGAGCTTCACGTGCAGGCCTCAAACCTCAAGCTCTAAACCCTCAAGCTTACACTAACATAGCAGTTGGGGGGGGGTAACTCCAAGTGCTGAATACTCAGACTCCTAAGATTCTGCTGAGGACAGGACAGTCTGCCCCGCAGCCAATGACCTTGAAGCCTGAACCCTGAACCCTATCTAGTAGCAACACGAGATGATTTGTTTTTCTTTTCTCATTTTTTCGATGGGATGGGGCGCTTACGCTAAAATCCCAAATTTGCTGTGTTTAAGGCTTTTGGGCCTTGGCTTCCACTATTCAAGTTATACTATTTCTATTCTTACCAGTATTACGACCACCCATAGCATGAAACCTTATAGACATTGTACGGTTGACCAGCAGGTCAGTGCACACCTGGTGTTTCGACAGCGCCAAAGCGCTGTGGGGCCCGCACAAGTGCAGGGAGGTGTTGTGTCAAACGGTAGCACAGCATGTGAGCTTCAGGCGCAGTGATTCAAAAGCAGGCTCCTCAAGGCTATGGGTATTTGAAGGGTCTCACTGGACTGTTGTTTTTTCGGGGGCATGTAGAAGTATCAGAGCCCTAGTCTTCAGAAATATGGACAAGAGCCCCGTGTCGGTGAAAAGGGGGCAGCTGTTCTTAAGGCTGGGGGCCAATATACTGTAGTCTTTATTCTGGGAACCCCTAAAAAGGGAGCCCTCATTTTGGCAACTTCTTTAGGCTGAAAATTCGTCGTTTGGAAGGTGCTTTAGAGATTCACCAGCTGAGGGGCTTCGAGTGTTTTCTTTGCCATTCTCCCTTTTTTCCCTATTATAATCCCTATTTTAAGGAGGGGGCTTGTTAATCGACATGCCTCTTGGTTCTTAACAGGGTCACGCCTACAACTCCCCCATATGTCCAACGCATGGTCATGGTCCCTAAGAGTCACCTCTTTGGAGAAACACCCATTTCACAGCAGCTCAAAGCTTCAAATTGCCTTGCTGCCCGCTGCTCAAACAAACTTTTAAGAGATCGGTGCGAAACGATGAGCAGCTGACAAGTTACAGTACAGTTTTCCGTCCTGTGTGGAACATGCCCCAAGGCCTCGAATAAGTGGCAAGCATAACAACCGAGGACGTGACGTGAAGGATTGGGCTTCCAGTCGCAGGTTCAAATATCACTGGGTTACTGTTAAGGAACTTAAGCTAACCTACCATGATAAAGGAAACCCCCATTATTTTCTAAAAATGAGATGCATGTAGAATCCATATGAAAGTTTCTTGAAAATCAAAAAGTGTGTGTATGATACGTGAAGGAGTACTCCCCTCGTACTCCCCACATATTCCCGTGGTCCTGAAGGGCTCGCCCCCTCCCACGTTGCTCAACGCAAAGCACCTGTAGGTAAGCAAAGCCTTAAGGCATACATAAAGTCATACTTAAAGTTTAGGGTAACGTGGGGGAAAACTCAAGTCACAACTTGGCGATATCCCATAGTTCTTTAGAAGTACTAGTTGAGATAACCTTTCTGTTTCGTAATATGCCTACTGAGGTGTAGGGTTTTGGGTTTGGGGTGTACGTTTGGGTAAACGAGTCTATCGGCGTCTATGGTCTGGCCCCCGCCCGCTCAGAGTGACCGCAAGGGAGATTTGTACACTCATTGGGGTCCTGCTATTTTCCAACTTTACCACTTTTCTTTGGGGGTCCTACCCTCAACTCTGAACTCCTATGGAGGTTAGGACCTGATTATGGTTTAGGATTTTTTTTGCCGACGCCTTTCTCTTCAGCTTGCTTGCTGGGTTGCTTGCTTACTGGCGACACTTTTTTCTCAAGAGTTCCAGGCCCATTTCCATTTGCAGCATTGAAGCCCAAGCCCCTCGCAGAAGACAGCCAACTTTTTATTCTCAGACCCAAACCCCAATCTCTCAGGACAGGACTCAAAGACGTGAAAGCCAAGCTGTATTTTTAAATGCAAACGTCAAGTTCTCATTTATTTTAGATTCGAACAGCCCGAAGATGTACGCTGAAAAGCCTTCATCACAGTTTTCTGTAATACTTTTAGACCTTTCTGGCACGCCACCTGCAGCCTGCGACAGCAACTGGCACTTGGGCAGAGGGACACACAGTCCGCTGCAAGCTACCAACAATGGCTCCCCCAGAGACTTGTCGTGAGGTGAGATACACATCTGAGAGGTTGCTGAAGATTGTGAGTGCATTTTACGGTTTCCCTAGCCTAGAAGTCTTGGCCTCATGAATAGAAGTTTTTCTCCAAATTCGAGAACCTCTGAGATACCTCAGTAGGGCCTCTGAGGAAACTTGTGATGCGCGTCCTGGCTTTGGCCTTCGGATCTTAGGAAGGCGTTTATTCATGGGCTCAGGATCTCAGGCGTGGGGGGTTACTGAACACATGTTTTTGAACCGAGTAAAACATGAGTTGGCTACGTGGGTTAGGTCTTCCCGGGCTTTAACCAATATTCAGGGCTTAGGCTTCACATTCATGACGTTCATGGAGTTTGTGTTGAACATGTAGGGCCTCAGCCTAACATGCCGCCTCCCGAGCACTACACCCGTCAACGGGCAGGGAGTTGTTGCAGCTGTTGTAGTATAGTCCCACTGCTGCCCAAGTTTTTTAGATGCCCTTGGAAGCATCCTCAAGAACCCTGTAGCACTTGCCCCAAATCGCCCCGAAAACCCCTGAACGTGAAATCTCGATTTCTCCAGCCAAAGCCTCACGACCGCAGAAACCTCCACCCCCCAATCCTGAACCTTTAGGCCCTGAACCGAAGCCCCTGAAACCTCAACCCTGTCAATCATAAAGCCCAACTCCTAAACCTTGGGGCCTTAGCCCCTGAACTCCAGACTCTTAAGGCCCACACCCCTAAACACTCAACCCCTAAACTCCTAAGTCCCAAAACCCCTATATTCCGCACAACCCAACAGCTCTAAACCTTTGCTCCTGGCCTTCTAGCTCCAGGGTTTAGGGTTAAGGGTTAAGGGTTTATGGTTTAGGNNATGGTTTAGGGTTTAGGGGAATAAGCCACGAAACCCTACACCTCTGCCAGAATCGCCGGCATTTTCTACAAGGGCGAAGGATTGAGGGTTTAGCGGTTCTCCCCAAGGAGAGGAGGCTTACGCGCAAGGCGTTTGCAGTCCTGTGCTGCATCAGCTCCCTGGCATTAGGGTCTAGGGTTAAAGGGAGTAGGGAACGGACAAGACAATTGAAGCTACTGTGTTTCTGAGGGGCTTAAAAAGGATTAGGGATTACGGTAGGCTTTAGGCGTAGAATGGTGTAGGGCTACAGCTTAGGGAGTCGGGAATGGTTGAGGGATAAGTCTCTTCTCATCTGTGAGTATATAATTGGAGGATCTTGTGTTTTCTCGGTTTTGGGTTTAGGGGCATGTTAAGCTCGAGATGGCTTACATAATTTGATTTTTGTTTTTGTGGGCGGGGTGACTTGTGTTAGGGTCCATAAAAGGCTTCCCCC